TTTTGTTGCTTACTACACCAAAACAGATTTACAGAAGGACAGAAAGTGAGGCTGAAGGGAATGTCAACATTGGTCTAGTCAGCTTCCCAACCTGAGGCAGGATGGACTGTACCTTCTTCACTCCTGAGAGGAGTTGGCCTGACTCTTTCCTGAAGGCAGATGGCCCACCTGCCCGTTGTGAGAAGCATGCAGGCAGGATTTATCTGCCAGTATTCCTCAAGGATGCATATTCAGCTATCCCAAAGACCACCTTTATACCCGCTCTGATCCCCACAGCAACATGCTGCACCTTATTTCTGCCACTTCCTCTCTTGTCCAGAGGAATACACTTGTGATCCACATCCATTACCAAGAAGGACATAGAAATAGTGGAGGGATTTCAAAAGGGAGATGCAAGCAGAAGCCACAGCTAGACTGCAAGACTTATGCCATGAGATTTAAGAAGGAAAAAATATTTATCATGACAGAGAAGAGGCAGCAAGAGGATCTGATCACTCTGTACAGACACACACACACAGAGAAAAGAAGTCTGCTGGCAGGAGGCATTTAGACCTTTCTGACAAGGATGGAGCGAAAGCAACAACTTTCATCTCGAAATCAGAAGCATCTTCTCAGCAGAGATGGTTACTGGATATAAGAATAGCTCAGCAGGGGAGATGGTGGACTCATCACCTCCTGCAGCTTATAACAAGAGATAAGAGAGCCTACTGAAGGACACATTTAATCCAGTTTCTGTGAAAAATGCTACTACCTGTATGTGACATTAGGGAGGGCAGAATGGGGGCAGGCTAGCTGTAGCGGTACGCTGAGGGCTCTGCAGGCAAACCTCGAGGTCTCCCAGCACTTGTTCCCTTCTTCATTGGAAGGACACACAATGTCCATACAGGTAAGAGAATAAAGGAATCGAGATCAAGCTTCCAGGTTTCACTGGCAGCTGTGCCGGGGTCAGGACCGAAACATGCCTTGCACCACACAACTGCTCTGTGTTGTAATTCACCTTCCCTTGATGTATCAGGGGTTGGCAAGGCTTGGAGCAAGACTGGGTGGCCCTTTCCATGAGATAACACCAAACACCCTGTTTCAAAGCTGTTCACCTGCTGTGTTTGAATCAAAATCAAATGGCTGTTGGGAGATACTGTTTTCTAGGTGAGACCGGCTAGTCTCAGCGAAAGGCAGAAGATGCCTTGAGCATCCTAAAAAAGTCCTAGATAAAGCATTAAGCTGAAGAAGTTGACTAGGCTGCAAATGGAATGGTGCAGCCCATGAAAATGGTCCTTGCACCTTCAAGGGTTTCCCTTGCCACCTTGCCGCTGAACAGTAAAGCCACCAGTTGTAGTGAATGATCAAGTCTCACAGTAGACCCTTGGCCACCACTGCCCATCAGCCAGTCAGAGACCCATCAGGGAAAGGCAACAGGTCAACATGCTTTGCTGCTAGGGCAGAGCCAAAGGCTGAAGTGAGCCCCTGCCCCAGGAAAGGCGGTGATCAGGATCCTGGGCTTGGGTCTTGAGCAGTTTTTTCCTCCAGACCAAGAGCAGAGGATGTGCATGGTACAGTATAGACACAGCCTGTTCTGATGGGCCTCATGCTGCACCCAGGAGGCTGCATTTGCCTGGGAGAAGCAGGGAAAGACATCCAGACAATATGGGCTGTCCTCATGGCAGACAACTCAATGCCAGCTGTGCACACTAGAAGAGTCTGAGCAGACACTAGCTGGGAGGACAGAGTAGAAATGGAGGTACATCTTGACCTGAGCATGTCTCAGCCTATCTGGGGTGACCTTGGGATCCAAACATTAAGTGTCCATCCACTTTGTCCATGGTCCCTGACCACGGGGCACCCTAGCCTAGAGGGAAGGAAAGGAAACACCAGCATCTCTACCCAGGCTCCCCACAAATTTTCACACCAGCACAGACGCAGTTCATAAATTGACCCTGCATAAATTTGGTGCCTGGAAGAAAGGAAACAAACCAAACAAAACCTCCTTGGTTTAGCAATTGGAAATACGTAAACAACCCCCTCCTCCATCTGATTTTCTCTCCCCGACACCTCCTTTCTGTATAAAAGAAATCCAAACCAGACTCCCGTTGATGCGTTAAACCCACTTTGGGGGCAGCAGAGGAGGGCACTCACAGGAAATAAAAACACAATGGAGATCACATTTTGTAGCACCTTTCCTGTTAACTTGCCAAGTCATTTCCCAGCATATGTTAACATAAACTAAAACACACTAAAAATAAAACTAAGCTAAAAATAAACATAATGGAGGAAATGAACAATGTTCCCCTGGTTCAGTATGCAGCCTGTACCAAGGAAAACAGGAGGGACCGTGGCTCAGTTTTAAAATACAAAGAAAAGGATGAAAGCTGGAGAGTTTGAGTTTCCTGGGTGGAAACTCTCTAAAAGTCAGATTTCTGTCTGACCTCATAAGGTTGTGACGGGGTACAGAAAGCACAGAAAAGCCCTGAGCTGCTGTAGAGAGAGAGTAGAGAGGGGTTTGTGGTGCTGGTAGCAAGGTGCAAGGGAGGGACACCATGCTGCTTTGGTCTTAAGGGCTCTTCCAACCTTCAGTGCCTCAAGCGGGTCCAAAAGCAGAAGCCATCTCCTTTTCCAAAACAAGGATGTACTTCTCTAGCATTAAATGCCTGCTGCATCCTGACCTGGAGCTGGCTGCATTTCATCAGCAAAAACATGATCTCTTTGTTTTCCCCAGCCTGCAAAGCACTTTAAGATTCTTCAAGATGAGAGATGATACAGAAATACCAAGCCATCATGTATTTATTATTTTGCAATGAGAATCTCTAGACTGAAGTCAGGAAACCTGCTTTCTTTGTTGCTTTTGTTACTGCCCCTTTCTTGGGTTATTTTAGGAAAGCACTCGCATGCACGTACTGTGTATGTGAGGCTGGGTGTGTGCAAACAGTCAATTCAATTCTTTACAGAAATAACTCAGATCTGTGATCTTTTACATCAGATTTTATATTCCTGGATTTTTATAGGGGATTTTTTCCCCAGACTCCACCTGCCTTATATGAAATGGATTATTAGCCCTTAAAAATAAAGATACTGCTGTTTTGGAGACAAAATATATTTTTAAAATATAATAAGGGGATGATACTTGGATGTTTCCCGATTTAACAGAGGCAGATCCTTTGTTACTAGTAAGACTGCTGGAGACTGTAAGCCCAACCCCACTCTAAATATTCAATCCTTTTGTCGAGAAAAGCAATACTATAAATAGCATTTCCTACTCTGAAAACTCTGGGGATCTGACTTACTCGAGTGTTTGCTAAGGGCACGTGCGTAACCTGCAATTCCGCATACCACAGCTAAGCCAAGGCCAAGGTGAGCCCGCAGGACAACCGTGAGCAGAGGAAGAGAAGATGAGAAGATCCTGCTGGGTCCTGCCATGCCCACACAAAGGGGACAGCACGCAGCTCTGTGCGCTTTGGCGCTATGAGACCTGGCTTGTGCTTCAGCTATAATGACACTTTAAAGAGAAAAAGATCTACTCTCCTTTCTCTCTGTCCCTATACGAGCTTCTCCCCATCCATAGGCAACACTCAGCTGCATCCGGTCAGTCTGTTCCTCCTTGCAGTCACTTCCGAGGGGGAGGGGGAAGCTCTCTAGCAATGAGAGCACAAAATTATTTTAAAGGATGAGAAAATGTAATTGCAAAACCACATCAGTTGGCTGGGGTCTTAGAAGCATGTGTGTACATAGCTGTAAGGGCTACCAGGAGGAAACAGACTGCATTTCAGGTGGACACTGATCCTTTAATGTAAGGCTGAGAATAATATTTATATGCTGACTCACTAAGATTTATGTTTCTGTATAAATCACACATGCACTTATAAAAAAAAAAGAAAGTAAAAAGCAACTGCAGGATATTCATGGCTTCCAGAACCCTACATAAATCAATTGTACCATGATCCCACAGGCTTTTAGACAAACACAAGCACACTCATTCATTATCGGGGATGTTCGTCCATCCAGTGCCATCAAGAGAAGAAAAATGACAGTAGCAGCCATGTGATGACCCTAGCCAAAGCCCTTCACTCCTAATGCCCCCACAGGTCTAGCAAAGCTTGGACCCAAAATCAGTATTCCCAGTGGTGCGGTTTGAGTAACAAGCTGAACCAGAGCCCTGGATCGGCACGCTTGTAACTTCAGGGAGCCCGCGATCCGAAAGCAAAACCAGACTTGGCAAGTTTGGCTGCTGTCAGCGCCAGCCGCCACCAGCCCCACTACCCCTCTAGGACAGAGCTGAGCACCACCCTTTCATTCATGGACCAGTGCCTCTGCTCGGCACCCTCTTTCCGCCTTGTTTGTTTAGTCTGTCTTGGATGACGGTCTTTCTCCATGCCTTTGCCAGCACAACCAGCCTGGAAGAGCAGCGCCTGTTCTGCAAAGGCCGCCTCTTGTTTGCTGCTTTACAGAGACAGGCAGACACCTGTGAGCTCTGGACACCAACAAATTAAAGCACCATTACTACTATTATTGTTATCACCGCGTTACGAAAGGGATGGCGTGAGACTTGGTGAGGATCCTGGGATGGATGGGGAGCCAGCACGGAGAGGAGGAGGAGATGATCTTCATTCCCACCTCCCTCAGTGTGGGGAAGACTGGAATGGATGGAGACAGAACTTGCAAAGCACATGCTGAAGAAGCCTGCATTTCAGCTGCAGTAGCAGCCCTCAGCAATAACTCCTTCGCAGAGGGAGCTTGGTTTTCCCACCAGGGAACTGTTCTTTAATGCAGTTTTGTGCAGATGCACAGGCCACACACAAAATCTATTTTCCTGCTTCCCCCTCCGCCCCCAGCGAGGTAAGCAAATCAAGTCTCATTACACTGGATTTTCCAACAGCACCTCAAAAGCTACCTGAGAAGAGTCACAAAACACTCAGTGAGTAGATAAAAGCTCCAGAACTGAAGCACAAAGCCCCAGAGGAGAGAGATACTCTGAGTGCCCGTCAGGAAGTGCCCTGAGGAGACCATACCTGTAGCGCTGGTGGCCATATCCCTCCTCATGTTTTAGGAGGCAGGTGGTGGGGTCAGAGCCAGACTGAGCTGATGTCCGCAAGGCCACAGCCGCGATGCCCACAAGTGGGGAGGAGAAGTTAAGCAGCACCGAAGCAGTCCAGTGGGATGGGTCCTCCTGGCCATAGGTCATGTTAATGACAAGCGGGTTGTGCTGGCATGACAGCTCGTACATCCCTGCAAGATGAGGCAAAGAAAGAAGCCACTAGCTCACCTCCAGGGATATTTTCTCTATTTTTGATTTACCTCTTCTGCTCCCCCACAGATCCCAAGAAACCAGCTTGAGAAGCAGCAGATGCTGCAAGGGGGAACAGGGGACACCAGCACCCAACTCAGCAAGAGATCACAGCAATGGTGGGGGCTCCTGGTGTGTGAGCCCATAGGATACTCACCCAAAGAGTGGTTCAGCCCATCTACGTCGCTCAGCAGGACGGTTACCCTCGGCTTGTGCTGGATGCTTGGGATGGTGCCATCAGAGGCCAGGAAGATCAGGAGGGAAGTGGGTGCCACAGGTCTCTCAAAGCACACCTGGGCAGGAGGGGAAGAGAGATGGTGAGAGCGTGCATACCAAATAGAGCCTTTCTGATCCCATATATGCAGAGGGAGAGAAAGAGGGAGCATGCGGAGAAAGCAGGAGCAGGGTTAGGGGGTCAGAGACTGCAATTGTGCAGAGCAGCAAATGGAGGGGGGGAAGAGAGAGAGGAGGGAAGAAAGGGTGGAGGGTCCTTTCCCTCCTAATTCCCCTTTTCCCTTTCATGAGTCTTCCCCACGTGTATCAGTCCTGCCTTGCCATAAATTTATGGCATTTCCCCAGCTTCCACATTTGCTGCTCTTAAAATTGAGTAACGCCTGACTGAGACCTGGATAACCCCTTTTCTGCCCTCCCTTCCCCATGCTCTGACTCCCACCCCACACAGTGCTGGTTGAGCAAGTGAGGCACCCAGAGAGCACAGCTACCAGCCCTGCCACCAAAATATTTCTATTAAAAAAAAAATAAAAAAAAAAATCAAAACCAAAAACAGCCCCGGTACCCAGAGTGACTGTAAACTGTCCGTCAGCCAACACACAGAAAGATTTGTGGGAAGAAGTCCTGCCTCCTAGGAGAGCCGACAGCTCCCCACTTGTCTACAGCCCCGAAGGCTAGAGGAGGGAGCCGGGAAACTCACAGCGTCAATCATGGCAGGGCAGATGTTCTTTGGAAGTAAGAGGATAGAAATGTTTTTCTCCCCCACCCTGGTGCCCCCCACCCAGTGCCGAGATGTGTTTTGATCAAGACCCACCCTATGGAGTGTTTTATGTTGAATGCCAGCATGGAGGGAGCCCAGAAATGCAAGGTGAAGCTGTATTTCGGAGACAGACAAGTCCTGGCTGGCCGGGCACAGCCCAAGGAGCAGACTGAGGGAGCGGAGGGGACAACCACCCGATTCGTGATGGCAGCCCAGCCTCAGGGTGGTTTGTGCCACGCCAGGCATTGCTCACGCATGGGAACAGGAGAAAACTTTGGGTTTCATCCCAGGGCTCCCACCCTGCAGGGAGGTGCTCAGCAGCAAACACCCCATGAGAGAGTCCCCAACACTGCCTACATGGTCGCTTGGCCAGGGCTTGGTCTTGCACAGGGCTGGCCCTGCTGCAAGGAGTTGACCAGGAGGTTGGAGCTGCTCTCCTTTTCTTTTTTGTTTTTTGTGTGTTTGGTATATCCCTGCTGTGTCCCCACCAGCTCAGAAGCTGGTAAGGAAAGAAAGCAAGAAGGGAGGGAAGCAAAAGAAGAGCTAGCAGTGGAGCTCCCTAGGACAGACCTGCAGCCAGGAAGCCCCAAAGAGCCCATGGATTTTAACCCAGCCACCTGCTGCACACTCCCTCCAAGCATGGTTCTTCAGAGGAGGAGAGATGGTTGGAGAAGTCAGGTTGGAGAAGTCGGGTGAGGCTTTCTCTGGACTACACAGCTTAAGGTGGAGCGTTTAGTCTTTCCCTTCCTGCAGTACATGTACTTGGAGGTGAAGGACACCGGCCCCGAGGTAGACAAACAGCAGCTGACTTGACTAACATCTCAACTTTATTTTTTTTTTTTTAAGTATGTATTATGGGCCTGGCCACAGCAGGCTGTCGTCTTAATTTTTCTCCCTCTTCCCCTTTCTGTTTAATTTCCTGCATATTACACATCCCAACTTGCTTACAAGTGATTTTGATTTCTCTCCTCAATGGATGTGTTAGAAACTAAGAATGAAAAGAATAAAGCATGACCAGAGATCTGCAAATCATAACTATTCCCACCTGCAGACAGACCCAAGGTGCATGGTAGATGATTTGTTCGGTGGCCCACTCTTGCCTCCAGCCCCAGTCCTCTTACAGCATGACCCAACCTTTCCCTTGCTCATTGGTGCCACCTCTTGAGAAACACCGTAGGAAGCAATTCCTACCACCCAATGAGTTTTGTGGTGTGGCTCTAACCTGGGTGACACAGGTGTCACAGCTTTAAAATGGCCACGGGATTTGGTGGCCACGAAACACCATACACACGTGGGTATACACGTGTATGAACAACACCGTTCCTGTCTGGGCAGGTGAGTGTGCTAGGCAAATTGTCAACAAGAAGCTGTCTTTCCTAACCCAATATGTTACCAATCAGGCAAACTCCATTAAAAAAGGGGAAAAAAAGAAAAAAGAAAATGGGCATATTTATTACTAGTCCATAAATAATTTTATGGGCGGAAAATAATAGCACTCCTAAAGAGAGCACAGAGAACCAGAAATGAAAGTCTTTAATATAAACATCCATAGAGGAAGAGAACTGACCACAATCTCCAATAAAACTGGAACACGCTTTAACCCCTGGTGAGAAGTGGAAAGCAAGCTTTCATCTAGGTAGGGCAGAGGGGGAGATTGCTGCTTTCTCGCTAGCAAAGGAAGAAAGGAGGCACATTTGTCATGGCCAGAGACTGAAGTCGGAAAGTAGGTTGTGAGCACACAGACAAGGAAGAAAGTGTGTGTGTGTGGGGGGGGAAGCTGTTAAACGAAGTTCTTTGGAGAGACAGAGGACCTCAGAGGCAATAGCAATGTTTGTTGGCTCAGGTTTGGTGATTCACCAAGTTGCCTGAGCATCTTGGGAGGAGGTCCCCTCTAGACAACCTCAAACAAAGCAGGGCAAGGTGCCCCTCAAACTGCAGAGGAAGCAGCCCGCCAGAGCCCGGCTTTCCAGTAACACCAGGCAACAGCCACAAAACCTCTAAACCATGGCTGTGGTTAGAAAATCAACGCTGTAAAAATTGCTTTGGCCTAACACTCAGCTCTTCTCTGTCCTGCCCCTCTGCCTGCTGGGCCAGAGAGATTTGACCCTTCAGGTTCCCTCCCAAAGGCAGTCCCTAGCCATGGAGGCAGTCCCCAAGCCCCGTTGAGCTGCAGGACCAGTGGCTTGGGCACAGAAATGCCTCCTTTGGTCTAGAGTCACCAGAGAGCAGGAGAACATTCATGCCACAGCTGATTGCTGTGGGCTCATGGTGTTTAGCAGCAACTTGGAGTGCTCGGGACCTCTCAGGATGGCAGCATATATCCAGCTACCCAGTGTTGAGGTGTTCACGGCCATGGGGAGCAAAAACCCAGCTTGTGCCCACCCTTTGTGTGTGTAACAGCACGGCTTGACTGCAGGGAATAGTCAGGAGCAAGTTGTTTCTCAGCCTCAACACATTTCTGTGGGCTCCTGGTTTTGGGCACAGCCCTTCTCCTGGCAATCTGCCCCAGGATGGGTTTGCTGTTCACAGTGGGAATGGGGCAACTACGTAAGACCCAGCCACAGGCATTTGGGGTTGACAAAGAGTTCAGTAGGATATGAAGTCCTACCCGAGCAGTTTTTAAGACTGCTGTAACTCCTACAGGACAGAAAAGGATGGGTGTTTGTCACTAAAGCGCTTGGGTAAAGACAAGCAAATCCTTCTGTGCCTGACCACGCATCCTTACTTACTTTGAGCCAAACTCCCTCATTGCCCAAGGGCATCCTCTCCTCATCTGGATCCTGAGTGTTGTCTTGGCTGGGAGTGCAGGGGAACCAAGCAGCCAGGGAAAGGTCCTTTGGCACATCATGAAGGTGGGATTTACACACCTGAAAGAAGAAATTTATTTCAATCCAGAAAGAAGCAAAGAGCATGAGAGAGCAAAAGAAAGAAACAGCACCTACAAAACCTCAAGACAGACTCAACATGTTGAGAAGGATCCCATGTCAGTTCATCGCATGAAGACAACTTGGGTTCCTAAGCAAGAGTGACATCTCACTACCCACATATGTGTATAGGAGGTCTTTGCCCTTTTTAGGTACTGCAAATATGCTGTGGGGCTGAGTAAGAAAAAATGAGCCAGGCTGTGAGATAATAGGGAAGACCACAACCTCTGGATTTCGACTGGGCTGATGAGATCTTAAGATGCAATTCATTTGCCTGAATACCAGCCTTGAGTGCCATTTGATGCCCTATGGTAACCCAGACATCACCATAGGCCTGACAGACAAAGCCTGGGAGATTTGTGAGTCCTTCTAGAGGAGCAGACAACTGAGCCCACAGCATCCCACCAGACAAGTATATCTAGGCAATTTAATCATGCTGTGGGTCTCAAGATGATGGTTCCTTACATGAGGTCAATAGAAACACATGTATAAAGGGCAGAATAGGACCACTCTACATATTTCTTCCCCTTCTTCAGCTTGCTAGGAAAGAACATACACACCCCCACATTAACACTGATCAGGCGAAATCCCGTCCTAGACCTCCAGGCTCTGCTGCAAAGCCCATATGAAAGATGGGAATTCTCCTATCGATTTTTTGTTGGCTTCAGATCAGAGAGTTTGAGAGCAGCGCAGATGCTGATGTATGTGTGATTTTATCCTTTCAGGCTCTGACCTTAGAAGGTATTAGACTCAAAGAATTTTTATTTTGTTTAAATCAACACAGTGGAGCTACTCTACATGCTCAAAGTTGTGCACTTAGCTGGTGGGGTGAGCATGGTCACTGTTCAGCAAACTGCATGGTTGGGGGAGGTGCTCCCTGCCTTGATGAAACACCCTCCTGCATTCTGCAGTTCTTGGGCCCAGGGACTACGGGAAGAGGGGTGTGAGAAATGCCCATGTCCTCTATTGTCTCCCTGCATGGGAACACAGTAGTCAATAGACACTTCGAGAGCTGCTCTGAATATTTTGATTTTGCCTCAGTACATTCTTGCAGCAGTGACTTCCGCAGCTTTACTGCATGGGCTTTTCTAGCAAAGTCTTTTTTTTTGGCCATGCCTTCACTCACCTTCACAACAGGTTCTCCAGTGACCAAGGAAACAGGGCAGGACTTCACATCCTGATGGGAGGCATAGGCTTTTGCTGCCCACAGATACAC